GTTAATGACGCGCCTTATCAACACATTGTGTTGGAGTTCACTGCTTGTTTTTTCTTTAATCATCATTCGAAGATGTATTTGTTACAGGCGCATAGTCAAATCAAGCAGCTTGCCAAATGCCTACATTGGAAAAACCAAGCGGGAAATCTTGCTGGTTACACGCTCCCCTTAATTCCCATCAATTTCCGATCAAACAGTGACTGGTGCGCACCATCTACCATCAAATTTCTGCGGCCTGCACAAAGATGGTAGATGATGGAACTGTGGGGCTCATCCTTCATCTGATTTCCACACAACCGTGCTTATTTCAATCAACACGCTGTTTTATTAATTTTACTCATCAATCTAGATAGCTCTCGACCGCCATCTTGGTCATCATTTTGATCGGATTTTGACGGAAATTTGAGCGTGTAACCAGGCCATTAGATACATTAAGAAAAAGTAACTAAAATTTTGCGTTAAAATAGTAGGTGTGTGCCCAACATTTCAGTTATTCGGCACGCTTTTCCAACATATTCGTGTTGGATTCTTCCTCTTGTTTAATTTATTTTTTCGCCCGTGCACGGGAAAGGGCACCCGAGCACCGAGAGGAGCAAAAAATATTGATGAGAAAAGGTTAAAACACGTGTGAATTGCTCTCTTGGAAAACTATAATCAGGGTGTTTCTCGTTGAAACCTTTAATTTTATCCTGGAAAAAAGTAGCGACTCTGGAAAATTTTCGTCCGTAGACGAGAAAATCTGCGATTACAGTCTGCGGGTCTCTATTCATAAAGGAAAAGGGGAAAATATGCACAGCGTCCATCATTTGATCCTCGTGTAAGAAGGGAAGGGGGAGAGAGAGATAGAGAGAGTCAGCAAAAAGCTTCCATTACTTCGGTGGGTTGAGCTCCGTCATTCAGAAACCCACTCCTCAGCGATATTTTTTTAACGACATTCGTAGTTTCACCTCCATTTGTGGCGTTAAAATTCATAGTTTTGGATGCTGTTAGTGCGGATGGTGTGTAAAAACGTAGAAATCATAAAAACGAAACGTTATTGATATCGACTTTTCAAAATTACGCTTCATTCTTTGCATTATCGCAAAATTTTGAAAATCCTCCATTAGCAAGTTCAGTTGTTCTACGAGAACGTACGCCTTGCCATTTTGGCAATTATCCATATCCGTCGATGAGTAATCATCAGAAAAACATAGATTCTTTAGATCTCCATGTTGTGTTCGTTTCAATTAGTGGAAGATTAATTGTGTTATGATATCAAGGGACTGAATTTGGCTTAGCTGAAACTCCAAATGTGTCATTGTAAGAGGCTTTAAGGAAAGAAAAGGCAGAGAGTTCAAATTCAGGCTGTAGTAGAACTAAATGACGTTACATGCAGCTTTCTCCGAGAGAAGCATCATGAAGAAATAAAAGTCAGATTTTAGAATCCAAAAACGTGGCTGGAAATAGTTAAAAAAATATTGGAAAAATTAGAGGAGATTCAACAGCACAGAGGAAACGCGTCAGCAATGGGGAACATTTCTCTAGTCCTTCTCGCACTGGGTGTCATCCTTTGGGTGAGTTTTTAAATTCATAACCAATTATTTTTGTAAGAGTTTTATCCATATTCATGGGCTGGTATTCATAATCGTTTCTTAAACAACTCCTTTGTTTGGGAGGTCCTATGCAGTTTAACTTGTGATTAGGGAAGGTTTAACCCTAGCTTTAACAACCGGGTCAGGCCCGGCTGCTCGTAAAAATGTCTGTCATTTTCCTATTTTGGCACCTACAATGCTGTATTTTACAGAGCAATCCACAAAAGCCCTCTAAAGTCGGGTCCCTAGGCGGTTTTGGAAAAAATGGAAAAAATGGGGAATTTTTACTCATCTTTACCCCTGAATTTCCAACCGGGGTTTCCCGAGACCCGGACCAATTCTAATGGAAATTTTTTCATTTCCATGATTACGATTCCATGATTTTTTATTAAGATGTAGATTGGTAAAACTGGTCGGTGTTAAGTAAGTGGGTTTACAAAAATAAAAACACATTTTTAGAATAATATATGTATTAATACTTATCAAGTGTCAATAATACCTGCAGTGTCGTCCGAAGGTCACAGACCACCCAGATGAATTTTTTATAAGCAGGTTATCGAGTTGACACTTTGAGATGTACGTACTTACATTAAAGGGAGGTACTTTCTACCCCCCACCCCCCTATTTCTAAGGGGTACAGTCAAAGTTGACTCAAACTCATCTTTTAGATATAATATATTTTTTTTATATTTATCACAGTATATGTGGCTGATGATAAATCTGCTGAAAAATTAACAGAGCTATGAGGACTTGAATGGAGGGAGGGAAGCTGTCACCTCCAATTTTTTTACAATTTTTTTAAATTTTAAGAGTGGAAAGTTATAACAAGTTGGATTTTGCAATCGCTAGCGATAGCAATATTCGTCATGGGAACGTTAG